CGGCACGAAAAGTGCAAAAACGCATAATCGCACCGGCCCGCCTGGTGCGTTCCAGCCTGGGTTGTAACTGGCACAGCGCTCATAGCACAAAATCTTCAAATGCTATACGATCTGATTATTGAGCTCAACACAGTGCTACGCCACTGGGCCATGTTACATGAAAGTGGAATTCCACAAAGGCGAACATGTAAAAAAAACGCCCTCTTAGAGAAGGTGATAAAGTGTTGCCTTGCATGCGCAGTTGAGCCGAACAAGAAGAGCAAGTTGGATTGCACTTATGAAATTTCGTGAAATCTCCTCAGATAAGCAAATACGATCTCACATAAAAACATAACTTTTGATTATCACCATCCTTTCGTACTACGTTATTAATGCGAAGACTGCATTACCAACTTTGCAGAAAATAGGCTAACGGTGGCATAAAAATCAACAGAGATGAATGTTAGTTATCAGCAGGCTACAACACATGACAGACGATGAATTTGGTCACGCTCTGGTGTAAAAAACAATAATGAACATCATGCCAGAAAGAAAAGCTAGGCCAGCCATGTGACACGGATAATGGATAATAAGAACGAAATGAATTGTTGAATAGTGTCCACGATGTAATAAAAGAACAGCAGGAAGATTATTGGTATGCTTGGCCGATCTACTAATTCGACTGTACGAAGTGATGTGGATGTGCAAAGCATAAAATCCTAGATAATAAAAATCGGCAGTTGCACAGACGGAAATTCCCACTATAAATTAGCAATTGCTTCAGGTATTTTTTTCATCCGCAGACTAGACCCAAGCGCCTCATCTTGGTGTAAGAGTGGCAAAGGTTTCACCAGTGCTGATAGACGGCGTATACATTTATACTTCTCTCAAGCCAGATGGTACATCACAGTTGACTGTTTAAATCTGTCAGCGTGGCTAACTGATTGGAAGCTACTGATTGGCTACGCAACGATGAAAAAAAGATAGAAACCTTAAGCATGCGCATGAATAGCTGCTTTGTTGAGACAAATTAACCAAGGCTGGAATGCACCAGATTTGCCAGTGCGATCATATATTTCTACACAAGATTTGAAGTACTCACGAATTGTTGTTGCTTTACACCTATCTTTTGTGCTCACAAATGTGAATCATCGTTAATTTTGCATATTTTGCATAAAGGAAGTGAACAATTTCGGTTTAACGGTTGTTCTCTTAAAATGACCTAGCTGTTCAGTGAGTAATTTTTTGGCCAAAACTTTTAAGTGTCCGTACGTGAAATACCTGGAGGTTGAGTTTGGAAAATTTATTTTGTACTTGGACAGGAAACATTTCCCTAAAGTTTCAGCTTTCTAGCTTTTCTCGTTCCCGAGCTAGTGACTTTCTCGCCAAAAGCTTCATATGCTCGCACGTGGGTACCACGCGTGCCGAGGGCCCAACTTGAAATCTTTAAGTTGTACGTGGACGGGGGCACTTAAAATTTCAGCCTTCCAGCTTTTCTGGTTGTCAAGTTAGCAATTTTTCCGACAAAACTTTCACGTGCCCTTACATGAAAGCCATACACAACCAGGGGCTGAATTTGAAATTCTTAGCTTACAAATGCACAAAAAATATTCCTGCAAGGCATCGGCTTTCTATCGTCCTGATTTCCGAGGTCGCTTTCCCACCAAAAAATTTTGCATATTTTTTAAGGTGTCCGTACGCTGATGATGATATTAAAAAAGAAGGGTCGCACAGGTGGTGGGCACGTAATCCTGGAATTTCAGCCTTCTAGCGTTTACGGTTCTCGAGTTGGAAGTGAGAAAAAATGGGAACACACAGATACAGGCAGACAGACAGACAAACAGACGCACACACACAGAGCCTCTTGCCAGTGTGCGTTTTTGCACTTGCTGAAATGCAAAAATGCATAAAAAAGAAAAATGGATTCAGGAACATGGGTCCCATTCAAAGTGAGACACGAAGCGAGATGAGATTTAAAGAATTTAAAGTTGGAGCAGCTCTCAGAAAATGATACAGCCCCTCAGTGTACAATAATGTAGGTACAGCTGTTCATGCTGGCGAAATAACAGTCATTTCAAAGCTAGAAGCAATAAACCGTGAAAATTTTTGACACTCAATATTTGAAGGCGGAAAACGAAGTTGAGCAGCTGGCACGAATCGAAAACTGTTTTGTCGGGCAGGCAATGAGGGCACAAATAAATTAGAAAAATTATCGCTTAATCCGCTTGCTTCATTCACAAGCTGTTTATGAGACTAGATGCAGAGGTGATAATATTTCCCTTAAATGGCTCCTTTTGAAACCATGTGTTAGACATCAGAACAGAAGCCGAAGAAATACTTCCGATGGACAGCACTTCTGATCAGCCACTACAACGCACTAAGAAGCAGTATGGAGCATAACTGCATAAAAATTTGTGCCTCCATTTTATTTCATCTCCTCTTTCTCGATCGAAAAATGATTTTAATAAAAACGGCAAATGTTTGCGCTTCGCGAATAACACGCTTTTTATCGCCAACAGTGTTTGTGAATGAAAGTAGTGATTTTGAGAGGTAAGCACATACAACAAAAAAGTAAGCCTGAAAATCAACGCAGCAAAAACAAGCATGATGTAAGCACTTGCACAAGCACAACTATTTCGAAGCAGGCAACGTGGATTTGCTGTAAGTTCTCACTCATAGTTGCAGAATAAGCTGCATGCATAGCCGAAGAAAACGACGTCAAGAATTAATCTTCAAAAGACTGCTTGACTGTGCAATTCCTGCAGCACGACCAATGACTTCCGTTACAGGGGCGGAAGAAATGTATCTATATCTAATACAACCCTGCCGAAAGCGCAGTAAGCTGCGGAAACAGTTGCAAAACCTAGACAATGAGGGTAAGCGAATAAACGAACAGTGATTGCAACAGAGGAGACGATGGCACGAAGAATGCTTGGGGTTTCGCTCTTGGATGATGCTTTTGGTTAAATGTCTGCTGGACAGGACGTCGTCATGGTCATACGACAAAGTGAATTGGATTGCATGAAATACGCTGCTCACTTTGCTGAAAACTCTGTCCTGTGTCAGCAATTAGCTCTCGTAAGACAGGAAGCAAAAACTTTAGCAACTTCTCGAAAAAATATTACGCATACATAGTCCGGTAGCTAGCAAATTCAGGGTGGTAGACTAGAACAAAGGTGGCAGACACTGTTACATCAGAAAACATTGGGAAGCACCGATAGCCTGGTGGGGTTTGGGACTAGATGGCTGTGTAAAAGATAATTGCACTATATTTTTGTTGAGTGCTGAACCTGGGTGTGTTCTGTTATGAGTCGATAGTGCAATTGTCCAGGATGATGCCACTGTTCAAGCAAAAGCAGGTTACTAGTAGTATGAGCTAAGTAAGCAAAGAGCATGCAATTATCCAGAATCATTATTCTGCCCCTTTCTTATGGGCCCCCTCATTCAAAATTCAGAGTTTTCGCACAGCGCAAAAGGAAATGAGCCAACGGACCAACAAAGTAACTCAAGCTGCTGCTGGATTCTTATCCAACCGCACTCCCATCCATCCATTCAGTGAGAAAGTGACACCGATAAACGTATACATGCACATACACCAATTGGATAAACTGAGTAGTGAATGGGATACCTGATACGAAGGAATCGAATCCAAATGACGAGCTTTCTCTATGGGTGTCCGCTGAAAATTAGCAATAATTTGAATGAACTTAATTTAATTGAAAAAACTGAAAGCAACCAGCATTTCTGCCAACTGACGGCACTGCCTCGATCCCTTTTTAATAAGAGATTCGCTCATTTAGCAATAATAAATCTTTTTTACGCACTGTAAAATACTATTTAACATTTCAATAATAAAACCTAATGTTATTATGCCTCAAAAAAAGCTGCCTCATCTGTCTTTATCTGATGTCTCTCAGAAAAGGTATGAAGTATTCTACCTTCCCCTTCCCTAATTTTGGCTACGTGCCACGACCAGATCTACTTTTTTGCTGTTAGCAATATTTCTATAACCAGCTACTAAAATTTTGTGATTAAACAAGATACGGAATTACCGCGTTTCCAATTCCATGCATTTTAACATAAGTCAACCCAGGCTGGAACGCACCAGACGAGCCGGTGCGATCATGTGTTTTTACATCAAACTTTGAGGTACTCCATCATATTCCCCTGCCCTTGCCCCACCCCTCCACTCAATGCTTCCACCCTTCCCCCGCCCCCGCGCTGGACACCGGTCTTCTCGAAGCGGCGATATTGTGCTGCATCACACAGCACGATTCAAAGCGGTATTCTGTGGGTACGGTAGGATGAGATATATGTACTGCACAGACGATCTAACGTTGCTCACCGTGGCGTTATGTGTGGGTGGGGGTGGTTGGGTGCTTCATGGTGTTATGTGTGGGGTGGTGGTGGTTCATGATGTTCATGATGGGAGGGGGGGGGGAAGCGAGGGAGGAAGAAAGTGTTGGGGAGGTGGCTGGTGTTTGGGGGGCGGTCGGTGTTGGAGGGTGCCCGGTGTTGGGGACGC